ACTTTTGCTTATGTTTGTTTAATGACCTTTTTAAACATCCAAAGGTACTGTTTCCAGTTGTTTGTTCAGATAAATTACTAAAAACAAAAGCAGTTACAGCACTCAGGAAAGAAACAAATTAATTTGTTCTTACATTTCTGCTGAAGGCAGTAATTTCAGAGTCTATTTCACACCTCACAAATCAAATGAACCAAAAAAAAAAAAAAACACTAGCGGTCTTGTTGACATAAACAACAACACTTACAAGCACACGGAAGAAGTAAAGATACTCTGCAGCCCCCGAGTAGTTGCCACACTCATACTGGAACTTAGCATAACGGTACAGCGTATCCAAATATTCCTGACGAAACTGAGGGAATAAACAGATAGAGCAAATCACTGATGGAATGAAATATTCAACGATGCAATGCACTGTTAATTAGCTTCCCTGAAAATAAAAAGGATATAATTGGATAAGGATAACTGGTTATAGTTGCAAAACTTACACCATGTTTGTCTGCTAAATATTCAAACAGCATCCTCCCATCTCTGAGAAAAAAAAATTTGCATGGCAGTGGTGACTTTGCATTTGTTAGGATGCTTACATATTTCAAGAAGCAGTAAACAGTAATATGATGACAGAAAACCTGGTGGACTGCATCTGTCTCTGAGTTTCTGGATCTTCAAACATCTTAACAATAGGCTCAGTTTCAGACTGGAGCTGCTTCAGCTGGGCCACCACTGTGGTTCTTTTCTCCTTTAATGCTGCGGAGTAAAATGAATATATGTATAATATGCATGCAGCGTATAGTACTGCACTCTATTTTTTGCGGTGAAAATCTTCACTATAGATCTGGATATGATTTTATTTAACTCTGTACACTGTGTATATTTAGGTAGAAAGGGAAAAACACTTACAATGCGGAATGTCTTTGTCAGAATAGAGGTTCTTATATACATCCATGGCAAAGTCCACCATGTTAGTGTCGCTGAGAAGATCCAGCTTCCCTTGGAGAAGTTCTTTCTCATTGTAGATCTGAGAAGACAACAAACATCAGATTTAACAGCACTATATCAGGTTTTCTGAATCTCATGTAGAGGAATTCTGCAGCATAAAAACACGATGTTAACAGACGTGCGTCAGTCAATGAACTGAAATATTAAATGTATACTGTCATTTAAAGTACTGTCGTTGTACCAAGTGATGGTACCCGACAGTAATATAGTATTTTACACATACCACAATAATTCATGACGACCATGTTCACGTATTTATGGTATTTACGTGGTACTTTAAAGAACGCCATGATATTAGAACACAATAATAGTATGACCCAGTGTAGAAACACAGAGAGAGTTCAGAGCACAGAATAAGAATTCATACTTTAAATAGAGCTGTTATGTCAAGAATAAAAATAAATACATTTTTAATGCAATTATGTCTATAAAGAGGTCATTTCTGTTTAATATCAGATACAAAAAACTATTTTTTCCAGACACACGTGGCGCTGCCCATTTAGCGACTACTAACCAATTCAATATAACCGAACAACAAAGTATATACTTTACACTACTGTAATTTATATATTACCCCCTTGACAGAGAGAAATTCCAGCAGCGGAAAGACCAAATGCCGGTCTAAAAAATGTGCGATCTTGGTGGTCAGATCGTACTCCGCCATTTTGGAAATAAAAAGAGCCTCTAAAAAACTTTATTTAAACCCTGATGAGAACAGTGACCTGCTGCACCCCACAGTCACTGTTACACACACTGGTTGGAAAATTGAAATTCCTCTTACTTTGTTGAGAGATTGGTGCTGGTTATTATTTCTGTAAAGCTATAACAAATTCACATGGGATCTGCTTTCATCTTTGTGGCATTTAAATTTCATGTTTTAATGATGGTAGTAGGCTAGAATGAACTGTGTGCTAGTAGTAGCCTACTGGGTCATTCATTTTATACAGTAAATTATTATACATTTATTTAGTCATTTCAATATTTTTTATAAAAGGGTATACCAAATTTAAAGAAATGGTCAACCTCTGACACATGCATGATGCATACATTGAACCTGATTATTTACACAATAGCAAGTTTAGCAGGATGCTAAAGTAAGCATTGAGAATTAGCTTAAATTGAGGGTGAGTGTTTTGAGATCATTTCTGCAAAGTAAGTAACCTGTTCTGTAAATATGCCCAAAAAAACTATTTTCCTGCAAGACACTATAAGCAAAAATTAGGTGACCTGTTTTTTTCCTTTCCCAAAGGATTGTGGTGGGGCTGCTTGCAGTTTGGGTAGAAGATTTTGTCCTCCAACACTTTCTGTGTGAATGTACCACTGACAGAAGATATAGGGTTCACATGCACTAGCATGGCATAATTTGCAACTTCAAATAAATTAACTAATATGATTTCCATCTGAAGATTGTGAGTGAGTTTAGTCTTTTATCCAATATATGTTAAAATGCATTGCAGGAAGGACCCAACTGGACCGTCAGAAAGTATTCACTGAAAAAAAATGTTCATTCATCCAATTAAAAAAAATGTACACTGAAAAAAATGTCAGATTTTTTACTTCTAAGAGCTGAACATTGACCTTACACTGAAAAAAATATAACACTGTGTAACCAGAAAAATTTGAGTAATAATTCCCACAAACTATTTTAACTTGATTCACCATAAAACATTACAGTCAACTGTAATTGTAAATACTTTGCCACTGAAAATCATTTTTAGGGTGTTTGAGCTAGCAATTAGTTGTAAATTGAACAGACCAGAATATTTTAAGTTAACTCAGCATAATGTGTTAAATTAACTCAACACTCAACAGACTGATGCCATTTCTGTCAGACGTCTACATAAGTGCTTAATGAGAATGAACTGAGGTTTAGATGTTTTTTTTTTTTTT